GTCCTGCAGAGATGTACCATTTTTTCTTTTACACCATATTTTTACTATACCTTTTCAATGTTTGGACGTGTTTAGATACAGGAATACCTATTGTGTTACAGTAACCTACAGTAGTCAGTACAATAACAAGCTGTATAGATTTGCAGCCTAGGAGCAATAGACTACACCTTACAGCACTTTGTATAAGTGCACCCTACGATGTTCACACGAGAATGAAATCACCTAAGGATATATTTCTCAGAACATATCCCTGTTGTTAAGTGACACATGATTGCAATTAAACTCATATTTTGACAATTACTGATTTTCCTCATGACTATAATGCCCTTTAATAATCACTATAAAAAGTCCCTTTCCTACCACTCTCATGTTTGAAATAAGGCAGAAAAAATGACACCAACAGAGAACAAAACCGGGAACTGATTCTACTACAGAAAAATAGGATGAACATGGGTAAGTCATTGATTTTCTCTGTCCTCATTTGTTACATGGGTATAAGCTCAGACATTAGGCAAGGTTCCCAGGAGCTCTACCATTTAAAACTTCTAGACATAAAGATTCATCTAATGAATATGACAGAGTTTCATGAGTTTATAATACCAACGGGCAGCATTGTGCAATGAAAAAGGCAGTGGGTCTTTGGTGTCAGTCTGACTTTGAATCTGAATCCAGTTGCACCGCTTACAACCTGTGAAACCTTGTGTGAGTCACTTAACATTTCTGAGCCTATGCTTTTTCACATATAAAGCAGGATAAATAAAATGTATGCTTAGAGTTTCTTTAAGGCTTAAATTAAATGACCAGGCACTAACCCCAGTGCCCAATTCAAAATCAGTGAGTCCCCTACTTCTATCTCCTTCTCATAGCGAATTAAAGTAAGAAAAAATGTTGATGATGTCCTCTTTCCTGGGGGAAGAAAATAATTTATAAATTCATCATTTTGAGAAAAGTTCAAATGACTACTCTAGTTTCCACCCAAAAAAAAGGAAATCAGTATATTGAAAAGATGTCTGTACCCCTATGTTTCCTGCGGCACTGTTTGCGATAGCTAAGATTTAGAAGCAACCTAAGGGTCTATCAACGGAGGAACAGGTAAAGAAAATGTGGCACATATACAGAATGGAGTACAATTCAGCCATAAAAAATAAGGAGATTCAGTCATTTGCAGCAACATAGATAGAAATGGAGGTCATTAGGTTAAGTAAAACAAGACAGGCACAGAAAGAGAAACATTGCATATCCTCACTTATTTGTGGGGTCTGAAATCAAAACAAACTCAAGGACATAGAGAGTAGAAGGATGGCTCTCAGAGGCTGGGAAGGGGAGTGAGCAGGGGTTGGGATGGTTACTGGGTATGAGAAATAGAAAGAAAGAATAAGACCTACTATTTGATAGAACAGAAGGGTGACTATAGTCAACAATAACTTAATTGTACATTTTAAAATAACTTAAAGAGTGTCATTAGATTGTTACTAAAAGGATAAATGCTTGAGGGGATGGATACTGCATTCTCCATAGTGTACTTATTTCACATTGCAGGCCTGTATCAAAACATCTCATGCATCCCATAAATATATAAGCAACATATATCCAGAAAAATTAAAAAGAAAAAAGATAAAGTTCACCTTCTCCTATTTCAAAGGAAATTAAAACCCATGGAGGTTAGTTTATACCTATTTGTGATTTAGGTGAGAAATCAGCAGAATACAAATTAAAAGATAATATGTATTTAGAGTTGGCCAAATCTTAGCACTGTTGTTTATTAGAGATATACCCCTGGTCAAATAAATGAAACAGTGTTCCTCAGTTTCCTTTTTATAATACCCACCTGCAAGAATATAGGGGACTCTATAAGTTACTATATGGAAAACACCTAGAGCAATGCATAGCAGTAGAAATGGAATAATGATAACCATAGTATAGATTCCATTCATTATTATTTGCTTTCCCACTGATCAGAAGAATGTGATCTAACTTAAAGTTAGAGACTTGCAAAGGAAAAGCTACAGTATCTATCCCAGATTATTTGAGAAAAACAGTACAAAAACATATACAACTTACATACGCCACTCGTAAAATATGCCATGGAATGTGTATGTGTGTGTGAGTGTGTGTGTGTCCCCTAAGAAAATTTTCTATCTGACACATATTCCTGGCTCAACTCCTACAATAAGAATATTCTTTTTGACAAGCATAGCGCTCACACCTGTAATCCCAGCACTTTGGGAGGCTGAGTCAGGTGGCTCATTTGAGGTCAGGAGTGCAAGACCAGCCGGACCAACATGGTGAAACCCCATTTCTACTAAAAAGACAAAAAAAAAAAATAACCGAGGGTGGTGGCACATGCCTGTAATCGCAGCTAATTGGGAAGCTGAGGCAAGAGAATCACTTGAGCCCAAGAGGTGAAGGTCGCAGTGAACCAAAATCATGCCACTGCACTTCAGCCTGGGCGACAGAGCGAGACTCCGCCTCAAAAAGAAAAGAGAGTATTATTCTTTTTGCAGAGTGCCTAAGTGCCAGAACAGCATTTATAAAACTCTCCACTATTGAGATGGAAAAGACTGGTTAGTTTTAACAAAGGTATGTCATACACAAAGGGAAGGATGAATTTTAATGACTTATAAATTGCATAACTGGTAGTTTGAAACATAGAACTCACTCAGAGTAATCACATTTTCAATTCATTCTATATTATAATTTATTTACATATAAATATTACAGAATATCTATCCATTTGAAATACTTTTACTGTCATTTTTTTCAAGCTGAAAGCCTGAAACAAACTAAACCTTCATTACATGTTATTAGATGAGGTACTGTAAAAAGATTAATTACACACCAGTTCAAGTATTTAAAAAAACCAATTCACTTATTTACCAAATATCCTTTAGAGTTCTTTCTTAATCATGTCCTCTGCTTTGTCCCATTTATTCCAAACTTTTCAACATTTTCTGTGATCACCCAGCCCCGCCATCTTCCACCTAATCATGTCCACACATCCCCCCCATTATTAAGTTGAATTTTCTCTTTCCCATAGGAAATAACAAGACAGTGCATGTGTGTTTGTGTGTGTGTGCATGTTACATGCGTATGCATGTGTGTGTGATCTCTTGTCAATGGATTCTATACTAGAGCAGTAGCTCTCAATTTTGGCTGCATCCTAAAACCTTCTGAGATGTATTTAAAATTTTTAAACTACTGATGCTGATTTGGTTAGTCTGTTTTATGCTTGGGCACTGGGAATTTTGCAAGTTCCCACGGAATCTTCTAATGTGCAGCCCAAGTTGAGCACCACTGGGCTAGAATGGTTAGTTCTTAAGTTAGCTTCTTTAGTTTCTTTTCCTTTCAATTCTGTATTTATGCTGAATAGTTTGGTTCTACAGCTGGATTAAAAATAAATTATTTTGATGACAGTAACTCTGAATTCTTCCATTTTTGGAAATGTTTCCCTTAGTAGATACGGCACTGATTTTGCTTAGATTTATGTGGTTGTCTCTGGACACGTGATATTTGGGAAGTTGGCACAAGTACTCACTGCAGTCACCCCAGCCCTGCTTTATGCCTTCCAAAAACCACACGTCAACAGCAGAGATTTCCATGATCTGGAAAGGGCAGCCTGAATCCCAGATTCACCATCTGCAGCTCCAGCCTGTACCTGGCCATCCTAAACCTGCAGGTAATCATTTCTATGGACAACTCCAGGAGAGGCCAAAAAGCCAGGCCTATGAAAAATAGCGTCCTTTCTGGCTACCAGCAGTAAACCAGCCAATCTCCCTTAGCTTCTGTAAATTTTGCTTTCCTGTTTTTGTTCATTATGAACAATTCTTACATGGTTATTTTTGTGAATGTCTCCTTATAATTTCTCTGGCAGTTTGAATGTTCAGGACCATCTTAGAGTTAAAATATGTGACTACAGCCCAAGAAGGTATTTGAATTTAGAGTTCATGGAGGCCTATTGTGTTAGTTGGCTACAGCTGCCAGATTAAAGCAGCACAGAGTTGGTGGCTTAAACAACAGAAATTGATGGATTGATTGATTGTCTTGCAGTTCTGGAGGCTACAAGCCTAAGATCAAGGCATCTGTAGGGCTGATGTCTTCTGGCTCTCTCTGTGGCTCATACATGGCATTCTTCTCCCTCTATCTTCACACAGTCTTCCCTCTGTGTATTGTTGTGTTCTAACCTCCTCTTACAAAGACACCAGCCACACTGGATTAGGGCCTATCCTTGTGACTGCATTCTACCTTAATTAAAGACTCTGACCCCAATACAGTGACATTCTGAGGTACTGGGGGTTAAACCTTCAGCATCTGAATTTGGGGAATCACAACTCAGACCATAACATCTATGAAATAAAAGAGATTATTTCCCTTGATTGGGATCCTTGTATGTATGAATCCACGGCCATAATGAATAAACTTTTTACCCTCTCCAGCAAGAGAGCAGAGCGTGACTTTCTGAGTGTTATTTAAAAATTCTGTGATGAATGTAGTTGGTAATCAAATTGAACTCAAAAAATATATAAAGGCTCTGAAAAGAAGTACAGAGCCCATTACATTATGCAGTGAATAAAAGGAAAATGTAAAATAATTTTCCTGATTTTGTGAAAACTGTATTTCAGATAATCTGGGGGAAGTTTGATTTAAAATCATCTCCTTCATGAATATTCTGAGTTTGTTTTTTTTGTCAGGATACAGTTCCAATGAAGAGTTTGGAATATATGGTCATCATCATACAACAACTGTCTTAGCTGGCTTCTTTTGCTATATTATTTATTTGGGTTAGGAGACTGTACCAGTCTCCTCATCTATGCAGAGGACTTCAGTTTGAACTCACAGACTGCCTGCTTAAAAGTATTTTTGTGATTCTCAGTATAGAGCACTTCCTCAGTCACTTCCTTCAGGTAATTCACGTAACATTTCCTTCTGGAAAATGGGGGTTTTCCACATCTTGTCGGAGTCCATTGATTCATTGAAATTGCGGTATAATGGAAAGAACTTACCTTGAGGCTTGGGCTTGGTCAGTTTGCCGCAGGGCTTGGAGATGGTGACCGTCTTCTGGCATTCAGCATTGTGCAGAGCTCGCTTCAGACTTCCAGTTCTGGTCTTTAGGGCCGTGTTCAGGTCACACTCTCCCCAGGCCTGGAACTGGTATTTGCACTCCGCTAAAGTCAGGGTTGAACCAAACAGAAATCCTTGAAAGATCCTATTGCACTTCCAGAATAATAAAGGCACACTTTTGTTTGTAACATTTTGCATTGAAATAATCATGGATGCATGTGAAACCATAAGAAATAATACAGAATGAATGCATGTGTATTGAGAGCTGTTTAATTCTATCACATGCGTAGATGCATATAATCACCATCACCATTAATTTATAGGACAGTCCCAACACAGCAGTGGGTCATTCTTCATAGCCATGGCCCAGCCACCTTCCTCCTTCTCCACCTCCTTAACTTAATCCCTGGCAGCTCCTAATCTGTTCTCTAGCTCTACCACTTTTCTAGCTTAAAAATGTTGCATAAATGGAATTCTACAATATGTAAACTTTTGGCTTTCATTTTTACTTAGCATCATTCTCTGAAGATCCATCCAAGTCGTGTGTATTAATAGTCTGTTGCTTCCTGTTTCTGAGTAGTATTCCATGGTACCAATGTACCCCAGTTTGTTTAAGCATTCGTCAGTTTAGGGACATCCAAGTTGTTTCCAGCTTTGGGTTATTACAAATAAAACTACTATATAAATTCATGTATAGGTTTTTGTGAAAACATACGTTTTCATTTCTCTGGGATAAATGACCAAGGAACTGCATGGTAAATGCATGTTTTATTTTGTAGAAAACTGCAATCCTTTTTTTCTACTGTGGCTGTATCACCTTACAATCTCTATTGGCAACATATGAGGGACCCAGTTTCCCTGCATCCTCACTAGCATTTGGTATTGTCACTATTTTTTATTCTAGTCACTTTGATAGATGTAGAGTGATATCCATTATGGTTTCCATTTCTATTCCATAATAAGGAAGAGATGTTGAATATATTTTCAGGAGTTTATCTGTTGCCTATATATCCTCTCCGGTAAAATGCTGTTAGTGTCTTTGCCCCACTTTCTTATTGAACCGTTAAATTTTGTTTGTTTTGTTTTGTGTTTTTGTCTGTTTGTTTACTGTTGAGTTTGAGAGTTCTTTAACATTCTCAATATAAGTCCTTTAAGATAGACCTTTTTAACTTCTTGTAAGTGGATTTTTAAGGTGCCCATATACAATTTAAGACCAAATGTACCTGATCTCCATCACACTTTTATAGAATTTATCTATCTCCATTCAAATAAAAATAACCCAAAGATTATAGAGGGAGAAAAAGATATACATGCATACACCCACTGTCCTTCCTCTTGCCTATGGGCCGCAGTGCATTTCCACAGAACACAGGGAGAATATTTCAGGCATCATGTCCCACCATGGCTAAGAAAGACAAAAAGTCTGGATTGTGGATGAAAGAGGTTATTTGAGGGTTCAATACTGGATATAAAGTTGAAAGTGTTGAGCAATTCTGTCTCAGATAGATAGATCAGGCCAGCATAAGAATGACTCTAGTCAGTGGCAGTGGGAGAAGGATCTATGAAAAGTGATCATAAGCATCCCTGCTGGACTCAGTAAGTGAATCTGTGAACCTGTGTGGAGGGTGAGGAGGGATCAAATGAGAGAGAAGGCCTGAAAGTGACAGGGAGAGACATGGAGAAAGAGGAGAATAAATAAGAAAAGGGGAAAGGAAAATCAAAGGAACTTAGAATAAAGGAGAGAGAAGATAGATCAATGAACATTATTAGGAGAAATCAAGGATATATTTTATGTCCCTTTGGAAAGGCAATGGTTTTTCAACCAAGGATGATTTTGACCACAGGGGACATTTGGCCATAGATAGTTGGAGATGTTTTAGTTTTGACTTCTGGAGTGGGTGAGGGATCCTCCTGGGAACTAGTAAGTAGAAGCCAGGGATGCTACTAAATACCCTAAAATCCACAAGACAGCCTCTACAACAAAGAATTGCCTGGCCTGAAAGGGCACCAGTGCCAAAGTTGAGAAACTTTGGGGCTGGGAAAGATGTCTAGTCACTTTGTATCTGATAAGATAAAGTTATTTAAAATAAAATCCCAACCTTAAAAAGATTGGTGGAAACAATTGAGAATTATCTCAGAGTAGGAGATTAACTCAGTAACTTGAAGCTTACCTCCAAATTGCTTTTTCCAGTTGCAGGGGATCTTACATCTCTGGGTCTTCATGGTTTGCTTGCACTCAGCACCAGTCCGAGTGCCCTCCCGCGTGCCCAGCCCACAGTCTCCACTGGTGGGCACACACACACTCCACTGCCATTCTCCACAGTCAGACTTCTTCACTTTTTTTTCTGAATGAAAGGGAGAAAACCTAATCAACACACAGAAAACTCCTTAACTTATAGATATAACCAAGTTCATTCCTGAACACCTTAATTGCAGGATCTGTGCTTTTTATCTCTATCTTTATTGTCTAGTGAATAAGAGAAACATCATAGATATTAACCAAATGATTGAATCAATGAACGATCAAGAGAAAGAGAAAGAAAACGAAAAAAGAGCTAAAACTAATATTAATTTAATTCTCTCTTACTATGTGCCAGATCTGTGTTAAGTGATTTAGTGGCATCTCCTTTTAGAAGCAAACATTTCCATAAAAGAAGAGATGGTAAAAAATAGTCAAGCCTAAAAACCGAGAAAATATTCTATTAAAAATAATAGTTGTCAACCAGGCATGGTGGCTCACACCTGTAATCCCAGCACTTTGGTAGGCTGAGGCAGGCAGATAACGAGGACAGGAGTTCAAGTACAGCCTGACCAACATGGTGAAACCCCATTTCTACTCAAAATAACAAAAAAATTAGCTGGGCATGGTGGTGCATGCCTTTAATCCCAGCTACTCAGGAGGCTGTGGCAGGAGAATTGCTTGAACACGGGAATCAGAGACTGCAGTGGGTTGAGATTGTGCCACTGCACTCCAGCCTGTCAACAGAGCGAGACTCCATCTCAAAAAAAAAAAAGAAATAACAGTTGTCAAATGAGCCATTTCAATGCAAGTTACTATTCCTTTCTCTGTCTTGTGGAAGGAATGACATCATACAAATATGGTGAATCGCAAATTTAAACAGACTTCCAGTTCCACAGCCTGCTTATGACTTTGGGAGTGGCATAGAGAAGGTGCTTTATCTTCTCTGTGCCTTCGCTTCCTCCTCTGTAAATCTGAGATTAAGAAGAAAAACAAGTTGGAGTGCATTTTTTAAGGAATAGAGGTAATATAAGTAAAGGACCTGATTGCTCATCAGTGTTCTGTACACAGTAGCTGCTAATTTGATCATTATATTAATGATCATCATGGTTACACAATCCAGGACTTACAATGGGAGAAAAATAAGACAAGATATTTCTTAGGTTCCTCTAAATAATTAGAAAAAAAAAGGGAAGATGGAAGGAATAGAGGGATAGAAAGGGAGGGAGACAGAGTAAGAAAGAGGAAGGAAAAGCAGGTAATTGGGCTAGATGGACATCAATCGATGAAGCCTCTTGCCTTCAGGACCCTACTGCTTACCTGGTTTCTCTTTTTTCCCTGCTTCAGCATTATCCACAGCTGCCAGTATGAAAATGAATGCCAAGAAGACAGCTGCAAATTTTCGACGCTGCTGCTGGTACTGTTGAGCCTGCATTCTAGGAATAAACAGAGAGAGAGAGAAGAAGGTGGCATTAACCTAAGCCAGAGAGGAAGACTCTTTGAACCCCTTGATGAAAGGCTCCACTTTTCATTTCTGGAATGTCAGATTCAGGAAGATTCATATCAATTATCTTGGGTAGAATTTTATCTTTTCTCAACAACAGCCACTGAAATAAGTGCTCTTCTGCAATCAATCACATATTCACCGACAAAACGCAACCATTCTCCACATAAGACTTCACAACCATTTGCTCAGTATGACTCAGAAATTAAGGAAGCAAAAGAACTTTGAAGGCATGCACTTGAACACACTCCTACAGTCTTGCTGATAGCATCATTTGGTAATACCAACAACTATAGCCATCTTCAAAATTCTGACAATCTTAGAAGCAACCACGGCAATGGCATTACAGTACACAAGACCAATTTGAGTAGACACAATGAATGAATTATCTATACAAGTACATGTTTACTCTTTCTATCTAGATGGATACATAAAAACCAATATTCTGACCTTTTTAAAATCATTGTCACAATCATTACTATTATCTTATCATTTTTCCATTATTTATTGATCTACCAAAGAGTGAATCCCAGAAGTAGAGCTGGCACACCTGTGATACATATCAAAGACACTTACAAACTCACATGTGTTAAAGATCCTCTAATCCTGGGATATGGTGAAGTATTTACACTTGCTTATAATAGGAAATGCTCACATTTGATGTGAATCAAAACCCTAAGATATCATTAGAAAGACTCTTCTAGACCTTGAAGCCACCTATGGCAGCCTAGTGTCATTTGGTTGAAACACCCTTGAGAAAGTCTCAGCCCAAGCTCCAGGACAACACACTTTCCAATGGCTACACCAAATCATGACTGCAGCGATTGGCCTGGCAGTTATTTTATTTTATTTTATTTTTTGAGATGGAGTTTCGCTCTTGTTACCCAGGCTGGAGTGCAATGGCATGATCTCGGCTCACCGCAACCTCCGCCTCCTGGGTTCAGGCAATTCTCCTGCGTCAGCCTCCTGAGTAGCTGGAATTACAGGCACGCACCACCATGCCCAGCTAATTTTTTTTTTTTTTTTTTTGTATTTTTAGTAGAGACAGGATTTCACCATGTTGACCAGAATGGTCTCGATCTGTTGACCTCGTGATCCACCCGCCTTGGCCTCCCAAAGTGCTGGGATTACAGGCTTGAGCCACTGCGCCTGGCCTGGCCTGGCAGTTATTGAGCTCCATCTGCTGTGCTAGCGGCGTTTTATACTTCATATAAAAATTATAGTAATGACCTATGATCATCAGCTGATACTTTTTTTTTTCCCAGAAGTGGTAACAGATCAGTTTAGGTGTTTTAACATTCTCTTTAGTGTGAACAATAAAACTTGCACGTATATAAGGAATTGAGATTATTCTGTTCTCTAATTTCTTTTTCTCATTCAAATATATCTATGAAAGATATCCTTGCCAGTGAATTTTCTCCTTTTCTGTGGCATTGGTCAACCTGTCTCTTATTAGTGTTATTTATTTATTTTTAATTTTACTTTAAGTTCCAGGATACATGTGTGGAACTTGCAGGTTTGTTACATAGGTATATGTGTGCAATGGTGGTTTGCTACACCTAATAACCCATCCTCTAAGTTCCCTTCGCTCCCCCCACCCCACCACCCAACGGGTCTTGGTATGTGATGTTCCCCTCCCTGTGTCCATGTGTTCTCATTGTTCAACTCCAAGTTGTGAGTGAGAACATGTGGTATTTGGTTTCCTGTTCCCGTGTTAGTTTGCTGAGAATGATGGCTTCCAGTTTCACCTATGTCCCTGCAAAGGACATGATCTCATTCCTTGTTATGATTGCCTAGTATTCCATGGTGTATATATACCACATTTTCTTTATCCAGATGGGTATTTGGGCTGGTTCCATGACTTTGCTATTGTAAATAGTGCTGTAGTAAACATACATGTGCATGTGTCTTTATAATAGAATAATTTATATTCCTTTGGGTATATACCCAGAAATGGGATGGCTGGATCAAACGGTATTTCTGGTTCTGGATCTTTGAGGAATCACCATACTGTCTTCCACAATGGTTGAACTAATTTCCAGGAACTTAAAAAAGGAACTTAAACTTATAAGAAAAAAACAAACAACCCCATCAAAAAGTGGGCAAAGGATATGAACAGACACCTTTCTAAAGAAGACATTTATTCAGCCAACAAACATATGACAAAAAGCTCAACATCACTGATCATTAGAGAAATGCAAATCAAAACCACAATGAGAGACCATCTCACATCAATCAGAATGGCAATTATTAAAAAGTCAAGAAACAATAGATACTGGCAAGGCTGTGGAGACATAGAAAAGCTTTTACACTGTTGGTGGAAATGTAAATTAGCATTGTTTTATAAAATTGATGATTTTCAATTCCAACATATGGATGTAGTATATTTCACTTATCAATTGAAATTAATATTTTGTTCCTTTAGTTTTTTCCCTGAATCAGAAGTCTAAATTAGCTACTCATTAGTTCCGGCACTTTCTGCAACATAAGATCAGTTGCTTGTTCTTTCTCTTGGGGCTAAATTCTTATTTTAGATTGGTACAAAAGTAATCATGGTTTTTGCCCTTAAAGTGGCTCACACCCATAGTCCCAGCACTTTGGGAGGCTGAGGCAGGCAAATTATGAGATCAGGAGTTCAAGACCAGCCTGGCCAACATGGTGAAACCCCACCTTTATCAGAGATACAAAAATTACCCAGGTGTGGTACATGCCTGTAATCCCAGCTACTCGGGAGGGTGAGGTAGGAGAATCCCTTGAACCCAGGAGGCAGAGGTTGCAGTGAGAAGAGATTGTGCCATTGCACTCCAGCCTTACTGACAGAGGAAGACTCTGTCTCAAAAATATATATATATATATAATATACATATATTATATATATTTATAACATATATAAAATATATATTATATATAATATTTATAATATTATATTTATAATATATATAATATATATATTATATATATATATTCTTTTTGCAGAGTGTAACTACAGTTACTTTTGCACCAACCTAATACCTCATGAATGGTCACACAGCAAAGTTTCTACTGATTCTGAGACTTTTTCTGTGCTTTTAATTGCACGTGAATGATAAAAGAAGCCAATCTAGACTCACCGGTTTGCAAGGCTTGTCAGAGTTCTCTGAGTTGGGCACTCTGGTACATCTGTACTACTGTATCTTTTCATAATATATTCAAATGTCATTTAAAATTATTCAGTGTAAAGTAAAGCAAAGTGGAAGTCTTCGAGCTTTCCCCAGAGTCTGTCCGAGAGCCTTCTTTCTGCCACTTTGGCAGAATCTTTTCATTTCAATATTTTTAAAGGACAAATTAATTTTTGATTCAGAACTTTAAAATTATAATGTATTTCTTTCCAATTTAGAATTTATCTGTATTTTCAACAATAACTTACAAATGTCTGAAGTATTTAGGTGGTTGTGAATTACTGTGAGAATTTAAAATTCCCATGGAGAAAGCAAAGCTCTTGAGAGAAATTTCTGCCCAAGCCACAGAATGATCCCCTATAGTCCTCTAACACCTACAGCAGGAAGAGAGGTCAGAAGCACCTCAGAGCCCACTGGAGAAGCATGATTACCTGGCAGAAATAGAAAGACTCTATCTTCCATAAATAATACAATAACACATATATACACACACATGTACACACAGAGTTATTAATGCCAAGCTGCTATCACTGGCAAGTTTTAACCTCTGCATTTCTAGTTTTATACTGTTAAACTCTTGTTTTCATCATTATTTTCAAAAAGATCCCATTGATAATAGACTGGATTGGAAAAATGTGGCACATATACACCATGGAATATTATGCAGCAATCAGAAATGATGAGTTTGTGTCGTTTGTAGGGACATGGATGAATCTGGAGAACGTCATCCTCAGCAAACTGACACAAGAACAGAAAATGAAACACCGCATATTCTCACTCATAGGCGGGTGATGAAAAATGAGAACACATGGACACAGAAAGGGGAGTACTAGATACTGGGGTCTATTGGGGGGAAAAGGGGAGGGCCAGTGGGAGGGGGAGGTGGGGAGGGATATCCTGGGGAGAAATGCCAAATGTGGGTGAAGGGGAGAAGGAAAGAAAAGCACACTGCCATGTGTGTTCCTACGCAACTGTCTTGCATGCTCTGCTCATGTACCCCAAAACCTAAAATCCAATAAAAAATTGAAAAAAAAAAGATTTCTCTTAATCCAGTTCTATTCACTTATTTCAAGGGAAAAAAAACACACTGGCTAGAATTTCCAAATCAAATAAATTTTTTAGTATAGAATGGTCTACTAAACAAGTCATTATAACTGAAATATGAGCTTACTGGGAAGAAGCAAAGATAGGTACTGAATGAGAACTGGAGAGATGGAATGAAAATGCACTCTATCGACCTCTGATGTTAACTTAGAATAATTAGGAATATTAAGAATTGAGTAAATGGTGGATTCCAGCACTTAAATCTTCTAAGAAAGAAATGCACACACGTCCATGTGTACAGTGAGTCGCCTGTGTACAATATGTGTTCAACAATAACTTTAAATTGGAGAAGACTGTTCTTCTCAAACTCTTCTCCCCTTCCTTCTATTTTGCCCATCATTCTACTTACGCCTATATTTTCAGAGCTTAGATATTTCTGGGTAGAGAAAATGAAAAAAGTTTATTTAAAAGAAGAAAGTAAGGAGTTTTAGAAATGGAATGATTAAATTTATCCAAAAATTCAAATATGCCCAAAACAATATCCAATTCGCCTGCTGGTGCCTTGCTGTTATAGCAAATACTTGAGTAATTAGTATATGGGTAGATAACAGTTCCACTTGCTTGTGATGTTTGCACAGTCGATTGTTTATTTGTCCTTAGCACCAAGTGAGGGCAAAAACCCTTCCTGTATGAAGCCTGACCCTACTTGTTCTTTAGCAGACTGAGTGCC